ACCTGTTGTCGGCTAAGGAGTTATCGGCTTTAGATTATTTGAAGTCTCTTCCCCGAGATCTTCCTGCTTGACACATACTCCTAGTATTAAAATCTCCCCATCCTCGCCTGGACATGGAGTGTACGTTTCGTCCTTATACTTAATTTTTAATTCAAGTTGTATTGATTTGACTTGTTGTTTTTATTGCAGGTCTAATGGCTCAACGAGGTGTTAATGTGCCGACTTTTCGTCATACTCTGAAGAAGAGGATACCAAAAAATACATCAATTGAGGAACACCGACACCCTCAACTTGATCATCTCCTAGATATGTCTGAGCCTCGCCCTCCTCCCCGAGACCTAGTCCTCACGGAAAATCAGCCCAAGAGGCGCAAGGACAAGGGCAAAAGCAAGGACCTGAGAATGAGAGAAAAAGAAAACCCGAATTGCTGCTATTGAAGGGGCCAGCAGTTCCTCCAGCTCGATAGTTCCTTTAGCTATGCTTACCGAGTCCTTTTTGGGACACATACTGGTCGGGTCGCTGCTCCCGATTTGCTGTCTGACTCGGGGAAAGAGTTAGTCGACAGCCTAGACCTCGAATCTCTCTGCCGCTGCTATGCGGAGCTACAAGTGTGATCAACGACTATGCTCCGAAAGCTGATTGTAGATCCTATTCTTGAGATGAAGAATATGCAGAAAGCGTATTCGACTTCTCAACAAGCCTTGGCTGAAAGCAGAGAGACTCAGTCTAGTCTTGGCGAGACCATTCAATCATTGGAAGTCGAGGACAATCGGTATAAGGAGCACTACCGTATAGTAGAAGGTCGAGTCCAGGCGACCGAGGAGGCACTGAAGGTTAAGGAGGAGGAAGTGGAGGCACTAAGGGTGAAGTCTTTACAGATGGAGGAGGCCCTAAGGGCCAAGTCAACCGAGATGGAAGAAGCCCTGGTACTTGAAAGGCAGAAAGCTGAAACCGACATGAAGGCTTTTGCCGAGAAGTGTTCACAGCAAGTTGCTTTTGAACATGAGTCTGGTTTCAACCATGCTAGTCGTCAATGCCATGGATTCTGCCAAGTCCCGGCCGACTTCCATTTCGATATTACTAAAGACTTTTTTGGCGGCAAGTTTTTACCATATAATGAAGTAGATGAAGATGTGGAACCTGACGCCGAAGCCCCTAGCCAAGCTGCTAGTAATAAAAATGCTCATGCTCTAAAGGTCCCTGGTCCTAATGCTGAAGAAGGGGAAATTTAGAACTGTCTTTTTTGATTTTCTTTGTATTTATGGGTCGATAGCACTCGAATTTTGTAATCCTTTGAATATGAATACAAATGCAACTCTTTTTTGTTATATTCTGAGTACTTCTTCTTGAAAAACAACCAAACCGAATGATTATAACCACCAAATGAAATTTCTTTAAAACTGAATACTTCTATTTCTTATTTATTAACCGAGTTGGGGTACTTCGGGTGAGAATTTTAATTAATTCAACCCTAGCCAAGTAAAAGTACTTAGGAGAAATTTTAATAACGATTCATCCTTGGCCGAGTAGGGGTACTCGGGAGGGAATTAACTAATTCAACCTTACCCTAGTAGTACTTGGGAGGAAATTTTAATAACGATTCATCTTTGGCCGAGTAGGGGTACTCGGGAGGGATTTGATCAATTCAACCTTAGCCAAGTAGTACTTGGGAGGGAATTTTAATAACGATTCATCCTTGGTCGAGTAGGGGTATTCGGGAGGGATTTGATCAATTCAACCTTAGCCAAGTAGTACTTGGGAGGGAATTTTAATAATGATTCATCCTTGACCGAGTAGGGGTACTCGTGAGGGAATTAACTAATTCAACCTTAGCAAAGTAGTACTTGGGAGGAAATTTTAATAACGATTCATCCTTGGCCGAGTAGGGGTACTCGGGAGGGTTTTAACTAATTCAAATGAAGTGCTTGAAAGAGAGATCTTGACGCATAAAAACCGAATAGCTGAGAAGAAGTATTTTATTGATAATGTGCCTCGTTAAAAACCTTCCCAAGAAAACTCCTTTTCACTTTCTTTTAAGAGGACAAAGCCTAGGCAAGAAAAATAGTACACCGATTACAAATTACAAGCCTTTAACTAAAGTAATGCTGCAAGTGTGTAACATTCCAAGTTCTCGGTATAAGCTTTCCTTCCAATGTTTTCAACTTGTATGCTCCATTGTCTAATATTGCCGCTACCCAAAAGGGTCCTTCCTAGTTAGCCGTCAACTTCCCTTCTCGTCGTGCATCTCCGGTTACTCGCTATACTAGGTCATGCTCATAAAATTGCCTTGACTTAATTTTGGAGTTGAACTTTCTTGTCATTATCCTTCTGCTAGCCTCGGTCATAATTACTGCTTGGCCACGTACTTCATCTATTAAATCCAAGTTGACGGCTAGAGATTCGTTATTGGTTGAATCCTCAAAATTTTCCCTTCGAAATGAAGGTTCTTCAATCTCTACTGGCACCATGGCATCAGTACCATAGGTAAGTCGAAAAGGAGTTTCCTTTGTGGTGATTTGCGATGTGCACCGATAAGCCCATAGTACCTCTGGTACTTTCTCTGCCCATTCTCCTTTTGCCGATCCCAACCTTCTTTTTAACTCGAGTAAGATGACTTTGTTTGCAGCCTCGACTTGGCCATTAGTTTGAGGATGTTCGACAGACATGACCCTGTGTTTGATGTGAAGCCCTTCTAAAAATTCGTTGAACCGTCAATTTGTAAATTGCAGCTCATTATCTATAACCAACGCATGAGGGAGACCGAAACGTGTGATGATATTTTTTCAAGTGAACTTTTGAACATTATTAGTCGTGATGGTAGCAAGGGGCTCGGCTTCAATCCACTTAGTGAAGTAATCCACGGCGACAATGAGGAATTTACACTGTCCTTTTGCTAAGGGGAAAGGGGCGAGGAGGTCCATACCCCAAATAGCAAAGGGTTAAGGAGAGCTAATAGGGTGGAGGGTGTCGGCATGTTGGTGTAGATGAGGACCGTGTTGTTGACAGGGGATGCATTTCTTTAAAAATATGTGGCAATCTTAGGCGAGTGTCGGCCAATAGTACCCAGCTCTGAGTATTTTTGCTGCCATGGTTCGTCCACCCAAATGGGTACCACAGATACCTTCGTGAATCTCTCTCATGACATAGCTAGCTTGGTCATCGTCAAGACATTTAAGCATAGGTGTTGAAATCCCTCATCTGTACAAGTCTTTGTCGAGGAGGAGGTATTTAGCTGCATGCATTCTTATTTTCTTAGCCGAAACTGGATCCTTTGGTAAACTGTTGCTGTTGCTGGTAAGGTATTGGATGATCGAGGTCATCCAATTTTGAGGTGTATTTTCTACGTCCATGCACTCTTGTTTGGTGATGCTGGGTTGGAGGATTTCCTGATGAATCACGCTTTGCAATTGCCCAGGTTTCCTTTGGCTAGCCAGCCTAGCAAGCCTATTGGCTCGTTCATTCATGTTTCTTGGTGTGTGTCGAACACATGTCTCATCAAATTCATCTTTTATTCTTTTAAATTCTTCATAATATTAGAGCATAACCAAGTCCTTAACCTGATATGTATCATTAACCTGTTTAGCTACTATTTTTGAGTCACTTCAGCCAGTAATGTGTTTAACTCCCATCTCCTTTGCTAATCTAAGACCATCAAGTAAAGCCTCATACTCGGCTCAATTGTTGGACGCCTTAAATCTGAACCGAATGGATTGTTCAATGGTGACTGTGTTCGGCCCTTCAGGTATAACTCCTGCTCCACTGCCTAGTCTGTTTGATGATCTATCAACGTGCAGGTTCCACATATTTGAAGTGATTTGTCTTTGTGTTGTGATCTCATTAACGAAGTCCGCTAGCATTTGAGCTTTAAGAGGGCGTCGATTTTCAAAGTGGATATCAAATTGAGAAAGCTCAATTGTCTACGCTACCAACCGACCGACCAACTCTGGTTTCTTCAAAATTTTGGCCATTGGACAATCTGTGCGCACAACCACCCGATGGCTTTGGAAATAATGTCTTAACCGACGAGCTGTATGGAGTAGGGCCAGTACTACTTTTTCCATCAACTGGTAGCGGGATTCAGGACCTTGGAGTGTTCGACTGATGAAATATACAGTAGCCGGTTCAGGTATTTCTTTTAGTAAAACTGAACTGATGGCGTTATCTGATACGACCAAATAAACAATCATTTCTTGTTCAGGCTTCGGTTTTGTCAACATAGGTGGTGCTGCTAGCACATGCTTGTATTGGACAAAGGCGGCCTCATACTCGTTGGACCAAGCAAATTTTTGGGATTTTTTGAGCAGTTCGATGAAAGGCCGAGACCTTTCTGCCATTATTGGTAAAAATCTAGCGAGGGCTGCAATTCAACCAGCAAGTCACTGAACTTCTTTGACATTCTGAGGGCTGACCATTTCAATGATGGCTTGGCATTTGTCGGGATTGGCCTGGTTTCCCCTTTCAGATAACATAAATCCCAAAAACTTTCCCCTGGCTACACCGAATGTGCACTTCTTGTGGTTGAACTGCGTACCATGCTTCCTGGCCTCCCTGAACACCTCCCCCAAATGGGCAAGATGTTGTTCCAATACCATGGACTTAACCACCATGTCATCCACATATACCTCTAGGCACTTACCCACTTGATTTTCAAAAATTTTATTCATAAGTCTCTGGTATGTTGTCCCTGCATTCTTCAAGCCGAATGACATTACCCGATAACAAAAATTTGCTGAATTTGTAATGAATGTCATCTTATCTTCATCTGGAGGATACATTCGAATCTGATTATAGCCAGAATAAGCATCCAAAAAGCTAGGTACCTTGTGGCCTGCTGCACCGTCCACTAAGGTATCAATATTTGGCAGTGGATATGCGTCTTTTGGACATGCCTTATTAAGGTCAGTAAAATCTGTGCACATTCGCCATTTCCCATTGAATTTTTTAACCATGACGACATTGGCTAGCCAAGCGAAGTATCTGACCTCCCGGATAAAGCCGGCTTATAGCAATTTATTAGTTTCCTCCTCTACTGCTTTTGCTTTGTCTCCATCAATCTTCCTTTTCTTTTGTGCTATCGGTGTTTCACCCTTATAAACCGATAGATGATGACAGAGAAATGCAGGGTCTATACCGGGCATATCAGAAGCTGACCAGGCAAACAAATCGACATTATATTACAGTATTTTCTGAAAGGCTTGCCTCTCTTGTATAGACAAACTGACTCTCAAATAAGTAACCTGTTCGGGCTTCAGTCCAAGTTGGAAAGGCTGCTTGTTTTCATTGGACTCAACCCGATACCCCTCATCCACTATAGGATCGAGTTTGAAATCCAACTCCTCTTCCAACCGAGGGGATACAATGTTGACATCTCGGCTGTTCTCATGGAAAGGCTTAAGACGTAGGCTTGCAAAGTAGCATTCCCTAGCTGTCTTCTGGTCAGTGTGGACTGTAACGATTCGGCCCCTTTTAGATGGAAACTTCATGGCCAAGTGCGGAGTAGATACTATGGCCTTCAATTTGTTTAGGGATGGTCTACCAAGTAGTATATTATAGGAAGTGTTCGCATGCACTACAAGATAAGTGACTTTTATACGTTTTTCTTCGTGCTCTAACCCGAATGAGGTGTACAGGTCAATACAGTCCCGAGTCTCCACTCGTTTCCCAGAGAAACCCACTAGTGGCTCATGATATTCTCTGAGCTCTTCTTCTGGGATGCCTAATTGTTTAAATGTATTCCAATACAAAATGTCAGTCGAGCTCCCCTGGTCAATTAGCGTTTTCCTGACACTGCAATTAAGAATGTCTACACTAATGACCATGGGATCATCTTGTACCGGATCCACTCCTTGAAAGTCATCATCTGTAAATGTGATAGGCGGGATTCAGATTCTGCTGCCCAATGAAACGTTATTAACAGAACAAACCTACCAGAGATGCCTCTTTCTAGCCGAATGAGTGGGTCCTCCACCTGCGAACCCGCCAGCTATGGTGTTGATCACCCTCTTCGGGTATTTTTCTCGTTCAGATCTTCTTACAAGAGGCTCTCTTGACCTGCTCCGCTGTCTCTCAGGCTACTTATCCTCATACCTTCTTGAGGATTGAGGATACTGCTCTCTCCCTCTTTCGGTTAACCGGTAGGGTTTGTTTGAACAAATCCTCTAAGGTGCTCATCTTTGATCAAATCTTCTATTTTATCTTTTAGGGTCATGCACTCCTTTTACATGTGACCCCTGTTGCGATGATATCGGCAATATTTGCTCTTATCTGCCCGAGGGGTGTTTGCGCGTCTTGGCATGGTCAAGATTTTTGTTGCTAAAGCCTGATCGAGTACCCTGGATCTGTTGGCATTGAGTGTAGTGTAAGAGGGGTATTTGGGCCCCCTAGGCGGCCTCTCGGGCTCATCATTTCTTTTATTTTCTTGCTAGGGTTTGAAAGTTTCTCTCTTATCTGGATTTTTTGAATTGGACCCCTGGTCTATGCGAATTTGATTTCGGTATTCAGCTAAGTTTTCCATTTGCATGTACTTTGCTGCCCTACTCTTCAATTCATCCAAATCAATTGGTAGTTTTTTACAGATGTTGTTAACGAAAGGTCCAGGCTTAAGGGCCATTGTAAGGTGGTGCATGGCCACTACTGGTTCCAGATTGTGGATGGAAAGGGTCACTTTACCAAATCGTTCCATGAACGCTCGAAGTGATTCTGCTCTTTCCTGACGAATATTGACAAGAGCTAGGGATGTGAAGAGGTGAGGTCAGCTTGCAGGGAACTGTAAATTGAACCGTCTTGTGAGGGTTATGAAAGAGTCAATAGATGACGGAGGGAGTCGGGTGAACCAAGTGAGAGCTGGTCCTCTTAACGAAGTGGGAAAAATTATACACCATAAGCAGTCATTCTCCATGCGACAGGCCTACCTGAGTTGTAAAAACATCTAGATGTTCCCCGGGATCAGTTGTGCCATCATATTTTTCTATTGTTAAGCCTCAATAATTGTCCGGTAGTTTAGCATCCAAAATATGGTGAGAAAATGGGCTTCGACTCACTACATCATCTCGGTCATTCTTAGTTTCAGATTGCTGTATTCTCGATTTTTCTTGTAACACCGAGGACTCCCCCTGATTCTGGGCGAAAGGTGTAGTTTGGGAAGGGATGTGTGTTCTTATTTATTCTCTTAAATGGGCATTTTCCCTTCTTAAGACCGAGAGCTCCAGGGCATCTTTTTCCCTTTCCTTTTCAATCTCCATCATTTCTGTTTTGAGCTGCATTAACACCGCTAAAAGGCCTTCATCGGTTTCTCCTTCTACCAGAACCTCAGGTGTCGGTTGGGTGGGTGTGATATCTTCTTGTTGAGAAGTTTTCCCTGCTGAACATGTCCATCCTATTGGCTTCTTGTTAGTACCATATTGATCGAATAAGCAAGGCTCTTAACCTCGTGGTCGTGGGTTCGAGCCCCACGGTGAGTGCCAAAATGTTCCTGCTTGGAAAACACTAATCTTCAAGTCTCTAATCTACAGTGATGACGTCTCTGCAGCTATTGCTGACGTAGGGAGGGTACCTGCAAAAGGCTTTCTGATGCTGAAGTCAGGATTTGGTTCTGAGCAATAAATGCTATTTAATAATGAAAGTCAACCATTTACCTGTACTTCCTATCTTCCTTTTATAGGCGTTTTTATGAGCTAATGGGTCTGCTGAGTCAGCCTTAAATTTGGCCCTTTCCTTAAAATAGATAATACTTTGATTATTACCTCTAATTGGGTTAATTACCTTTAAATCCTGAGAGTTGTATTCGGCCAATCTGGGCCGAACAGGTACTCGGTTTCCTTTTCTTATATACAGGACCGAACCGTTCTCTACCCAGTACAGAATTTATATATAATAAATAAAATTAAAACATAATATATTTTATCTTTATAGAGAGAGACGTAGAATTTAATAATTAATTAGAGTGGAGGAAAATCAAATTTACCTTTTGTTTGTTTCTTTCTTTACCGTTATTACATCTTGGTTGTCACTAATACTGGGAAACTTCACCAGGTAACTATTATTTCACGTAAACTTTTTGGGGGTGAAACCATTGATACCGTACTCTTGCCATGTCATAAATGTACGTCCTGGCCAGTTTAGGAAGATACGATTTGAATATTTGGAAATCAATTTATGTGGGTGCATCCTCATTTTCCTCAGGATTTGCCTACTACGTACTTACCATATTAATTAAGCTAATAATGCATTAAAGTAATGTATATGAAAAAAATCTTCAAGCTGATCTACTAAAGCATGCATATCTAATCTCCATGTTACCATCTATGTCTTTAAATTAAATTAATTCAATCAACACTAACGAACATGCTAAATAAACATTTCTCAAAATCCTTCACCAAAACGCAACTCTCTCTACACGATGTTAAGCATAGACATGAAGGGGAAGGGCAAAGTGAGTGAAGAATCTGAAGCCAACATGAAGGATGACAAGGTGGAAAAGGAATTACGTGCAAAGGAGAAACGGAACAAAGGGAAGGAGGTGTTAATAGATGCACAACCTAATTTAAACCGTGACAAGCGAAAGGCGATCATGGTGGAAGAACCTGAAGGGGGTGCAATGGATTCCCCCGAAAGAAGCATTTCAGAGCGTTATTTTGGATTCATTGTTGATTCTATTAAGAGAAAGAGAAAGGCTGGTTACCCATGTGATTTCTGTGAAAAGATCTTCCTTTCTCCACAAGCGTTAGGAGGCCACCAAAATAGCCACAAATGGGAGCGAAACCTGCGACAAGAGTTGCAGGCTGTGAATATAGCCAAGGGAAGAAACCCTTATCATTGGGTAGGCCTAAGCCCCATGATCTTCAATCTTGAGGAGTATCAAACCCTCAACCCCTATTCTCAGACGGGTAATGGCTATCAATATTACGGACTAGACAGAATGTTTCAACATGAAGGTAGGGACGGATTTAGAGGGGGGTGAGTGAGAACACTCTCACTCCTTCCTCAATATATATTTTTTTAACATCATATATATAAAGTCTAATAACTAGCATGTTTGGTCAATTATTTAGAAGGATCTATGACGGCCACTATTTCATTATTTTTGTTTTTACCTTTCTTTCACTATTAAAAAATTTGAAGGAAAAAAAATAGGTTTTATTTGATAGTTGAAAGTTAGATAAAAATAAATAAGGATACGAGCCTCCCAAACTTCTATTTTATTCAATATTTGATACATATCAAAGGATTTATCAGATAATTATCCTATTTTGTACTTTTTATGATTACGATAATGAGATATGAATTATATTAAAATAATAAAATTATTCTTCTATCAAAATTACATGTGATTTTTTAAAATTATTTTTACTTTTAATTTTGTACATAATTCATTTTTAAATTATAAAAAATTATGGAGATTACCCGACAGAAGTGAAGGTGTTGGGTAACAGTGGAGAGTAACAAGTGACAGTATTGGCAGTGAAGGGTGTAAAGTGGTGGACGTACAGGATCTTAGGTGACAATGGCAGTGGAAGATGTCAAGTCAGACCGACAATAAAAAAGTGTTAGATGATTGTAGCAACGGTGAGAATGAAATGTGTTAACAATAGTGGTGGCAATAACAATGAGTGTTGTGTGATAATGATGATATATAGAGAGAGCATTATGTCACAATAATATTGATGGAGGTTACTAGATGAGGCATCGTTAATTAGAGGGTGTTGAGCAGCTATGATGGATGGATTTTAGTGATGAGGCAATGGTAAACGGTGTCGTGGTAGTGATAGTGGAGGGTGATGCAAATAGTGATGGAGGAAGGAGTCAAGCAATGGTAGAAGTAGTAGGAAAAAAATGATGCCAAGTGGTGATGGTGGTGGAGGGATTTCAACAATGGCGAAAAAAGCAACCACATGACTAAGGTACCTAGAATATCATCAATGAAGGATTTGGGCATTGGTGATTGAGGGTGTCAAGTAACAGTGATCACATGGGGATTTCAAGAAACGATGGTAGAGTTGGCAACAACAATGTCAAGTGTTAGCTAGGTGGTGTTGACAATACTAATGGGGAAAGTTGCCTAATGATCATAATAGTAGTAAAGGGTTTAAGTTAGGGTAAGAAGGTGAAAATATGTATTATCGTATTCTATTTTTTTAACCCAATTTCAAGATAAATTATACTAGAATGATAATATAAAATAGCCAATAAAATCAGTTTATCTTATTTTATTGGTTCATCGAGCAAATTCAAATAAAATAACTTACATTTTCTTATTTAACTATCAAATGAATCCTAAATTATATCTTTACCTTCAAAACTTATTATAAATGACTTTATTTGTCTCTTATAAAATTGTGATGATAAGTAAATCATTTTACTTCTCCTTTCTCTTATAAATTAAACAAGGTTTCTTATAAACAAATATGTTAAAAGTTTGATTACTTTTGACCCCTCTTCTTTACATGTTTCTTGAATTCATCCCTACAGCAAACTTTGATAATGGAACTTCGCATGGTGCCGCGGAGAGTCGCAAGAACAATGCATTCCCTTACCCACAGATGATAAACACTGGTTGTGGCACCCATGCTGATTCGCTAGACATTGGAAATGATGCATTTCAACATCAAGAACAGGTACTACTCTATCCTGGGTTTGTGACTCAGGAAATTGGCAATACTCGAAGTAGAAATTTTTATCAGCACCCAGTGACTGGGGGTTTCAATTCTAGGTTTGGGACAAGTTATGGTACATTGGGTGTTGAACATGGTGCATTCCGGCATCCAGAGTCGGCATGGTTAAATCCTGGGTCTGAGACTAATGATTATGGCAGGGTCGAAAA